ACTTAACTATGCTATCAGAAAGTTCTCTCAGGTATTTGCAATTAACACTGATTAAGTTAAGATTATGACACATATGGGGAAGGAAGGCCCAACTGCTTTATTGTTTGTTTGGACATTGAAAATATTGTTTTCTAGGAGCACCTTGCATTGAAAATGCCATCATCAAAAAAATTAATTAATTTTGACAACAAAAATATGTTCAATAAAGAAACAAAACATTCCAAAACATAATCATAAACTATATCACACTCACATAAAAAAATAATAAATACCATTTTTTGGGGCTTTTGTACTTTAAAAGTGGCCACTTCAAAGCTAAATTAAAAGAAAAATATTTTTTGTGCCCTGTCTCAGTGTAATAGGAATCACAATGCAAAATTTCGATTTCGTAGCGTTGTTATTCTTGAGATCTCATACTCAGTCATTGAGTCAGTGATATTTTATATTTGTAGATTTTAACGCAGGTGATTTAGTTGTATATGTTTGTTCAATATTTTTACTATGATAGGTGTCAAGCAATTAATTTTTTGCAGGGAATTGAAATCCCAAGAAATCATTGGAAACATGCTGGGGGCATTCAACAGTCTGTGCCATGCTGTGGCTCCCAACTGTCGGATGCAGCTGTGTCACTTTGGGGAAAGCCTCATGGACAGCTTTGTCTACCTCTGGGGTCGAGGCAGCGAGGAGATCAAAGTAAATTATTGTACAGATGTGTTGTAGTTATTTCTCAACATTTTATTTTTGTCTTCTCGTTTGGTATTGTCAAGAATGGCAGAAAAATTATTTTAAAATTCTAGCATGATAATTTACTTTGTTTAACAGAAGAATTATGTACTTTAAAAAGTTTTTAACTGTCCTCCTTAGGAAGAATTGGTTAAATTTCTTCACCTTTTGGTTCAAATTCACCACCCAAGAGGAGTTTCAAATTTGACAGATGGAGCCTGTGCTGAAAATTGGGAGGAGTGGAAAGTTTGTATCTGATTTCACATTTACATTTGCCAAAACAAAGCTTGCTGTCATAATCTTAAATTATGCTGAAATATCTTAATTTTATTTTCTGTCAATTTTTTGTTTTTTTTTGTGTATGTCGTGATTCATCCATATATGTTAGTCTCAGTATTAAGTTCTATGTACCTTTTGATTTGAAAGTTGCCTCGGTAACCATTAAAGGTTTGCCATTTTTAAGAAATGAATGTTTATATTTAATAAAATGACTTGATGGGCAAGCAAGTGTGACTCAGATTAACTGTAATATTTTTTATTTTACTTGTCTTGTGGGTGCTGGGTGGCCGAGGGGTTCTAAAATGAGTTCAGTCCCCACCAAAGCCAACATCCCAAGCACCCCATGTGGTTGGGACTCGCTAGCCTTGGAAATCAAAGAGAAGGCAAACTATGAATTCAAACCAGGAGCCAGAATGATCAATAAATTGATAGTGGGCCCTCAAAATATAGAAGAAAAAAAAAAAACTTGTCATGGTGTTCTGATTTTTCACCAGAATCATCTGACATCTTTTCATGAAATGATCTGCTCGGACTTGGATGAAAAATACACTTTCCTGACAGGGTAAGTAGGCTGAAAATTTAATCATTCTTTCTGAGTTTTCATTTTATTTCAATGAGTACATTTTTAAGGATTTACTAACAGAAATAAAAGAAAGAATATCCTCTATCCTCCAGACACAGGGCATACTTTAGTAGTCACAAAATAATCATAAGTAAAAACATAATAAGAAAAAAATATATATATATACAAAACAATAATTAGACCAGTTGTATGTAACATATGCAAGTGAGTCTTGGACCCTAGCGAAATGGCAGAAAGCCCATGAAACACATGGGAGAGAGAATTACTCTAGAAAATTTATGGACCAACAAAGGATGAATATATGATGGAGAATACGAACCAACCAGGAAGTGTATAGTCTATATCAGGATCCTACAATAGTAGCAGAAATAAAAAAGGGCAGCTACGTTGTGCGAAACACTTAGAAAATATGCCAGGGAACTGAAGATGGTGCACAACCAAAACTTTTAACGAAGTCGGGTCAAAGGCAGACCTAGGGTTAGATGGATGAATGATGTGGAAAAAAAGATCTACAACAGGTGAGAATCCAATCATGGAAAAGAAAAGCTTCTCTTAGGTCTGAATGGAAGGAATTGGACAGGTAGGCTAAAGCCCTACATGGGCTGTAGTGCCACAAGGATGGATGTATTAAATTTTTAAATTACGACAATATTATATTGTGTAATGTATTTATTTATTTATAAGATGCTCAAATAAAAGTTTAAATAGTCATTTGACCACTGTGTGTGTGTATATTTTGGTTTTATAAAAGGGTTTTTCACAAAAATAGATATTTCCATTAATTTTCCTATCATTTGACTCGATTTGTTTGACCGTTGATGGTTCCTTGGGAATAAAACTTATGGTATCGGTATCACATGAAAAGGAAAAATGGGGAAAAAAAACAAAAGAAAAAATTTGAAACATGAAATTCTCAAGAAAATATTCAATATTAATATATAATGAATTGTGAACTTGATGAATTCATAATGGCTTTAACGAGAATTCATAATGGCTTTAACGGGTCAAAACACTGTTTTGTAATATTCAGTTGTTTTTCTTTTTTTTTTTTATGAAGGTCCAAAGTGCTTACACTCAAGTCAAGCTATGTCAGTTTTGCTGCAGATGTTTTTAAACAGGTATTTAATACAAATATTTACTTTTAAAATGCATTTTTTAAAAGAAAATCATACATTTCTTAATCAGAATTGAAATTATAAATAAAAGTATACTGACTACATTATTCATTTATGTAAATTTAACTATACTAAAGAATCTTAGAATTTAGCATTTGTAATGTTAAATCTCTCATTATTTGTTCTTTTCTTTTTGTGTGAAAAATTCAATATTACTTTATAATAGTAGTCCATCTTTATTTCAGAATATTTCTTGTAATTTTTACTCCTATTTTACATGAACTGATAAATTCAACATATGTAATTCTTTTGAAATTCATGAATAAAATTATATCTTGAAACAAATTTATTTCGCTGTTTATCTAAATCTTTTAAAAAAATTTTAAGCCTCTTAGCTAAGAATTTATCATCTGCATTTTTTACATTGACATAGATTGAGCCTGGCAGGTTGTTCCCTTCAGACAAGTCGATTTTAACGATTTCATCTCAGATCCACCATCACGGGAATTCCATCACAGCTACACCAGCCAAGAGGCAAAGATTGTCTAAAGAAGGCATATCCCTGCTTGAGGCACTCAAAGACAGGTCCAATACACTACAAGCTATTCCATGGTCAGTCTATTGTGTGACAAGTAATTAAGGTTTACTACTAGGCAACTATTAATTTTCTAAAGTTTTTAAGGGGGCCTTTTTAAAACTTGACGTCATAATGCTCGAATTGTCACCCATTTACACCTTTAAAAGTCCTCTCCTGACTTTTGTTGGCTAAAGGCTCAATAATTTATACCCATTTTGCTTTGATATGTTAAAAAATTTTAAAAGCTGTTTTTATTTATCTGTGGTTGTCATCATGTGTTAGTTTTTATTGTGTTTCATTTGCTATAATGACAGGTTGCAGATTTTACAACAACTTCTGAATAAGTATCCTGAATGTTTTGGCCAAGAAGGTCTTGTCTGTGTATTTCAAATAATGGCAACTTTGTTATCTGAGTGTAAAAGGTTAGTCACCCTGAACAACAACAACAGTCACCCCAATCAAAGTGGGGATATTGTGTTTTAATTTAATTATAGCCATCTTTATGGCGCTCTAAGATTCTTTAACATCCTTGCAGTTTCATAATTAACTCCATTCAGAAATCATGTTCAATCTGTCGCAGTCTTTTGAGTCTCAAAAGCTTTATTGAAATCTCTGGGCCACTCAGGAATTCTGCATTTCCTCAAATGCTGTAAAATTTTGGTGAACAGGAAACAAAGAAATTTCATTTTAGGATTCATTGGATTTTAATCGGGTTAAGATCATAAGCTTTTAATTTACACCAAAAAATAATGAACCCTCATGAAAAATTATGACATTATTGCTTAAACTAGTTATGTTTGACACTGTTTTAGGCCCATGCTTTTTCAATAAAATATCACTTTTAAATTCAATGTTGTCATTAAAGAAGGGAAGTTTGATGATCTAGGATGGCTGATTTTTTTGCACTTGAGAAATTCTTTTATATTGTTCTAGTTTTTTTTTTTAAAATTTGTTCATAATCAGCATGTTTATCCAAATGATGAAAATGAATATTTACAATGTAATCAAAACACATTTTCCATTAACTTGGATCAATAAAGGAATCTTCTCTTATCTTATTCAATTTGATCCCAACTTAATTAAATTAAGGTGAATTGCCTCAATTGTAATCAAGGACCAAATTTAATTCAATTCATAGTACCACAACAATGATTTGCTCAATTTATGTCTTGTAATAACTGGTCTCTGGCCTTGTTTCGTACACAGGGGACAGCTGTTCTCATTTTTATATGAAGTTCTCACAGCACTCATTAGAGCTTATCAGTTACACGGTAAAGAGGAGCACATGATCACTCAGCAAATGACTACAATTTGGTCTCATTGCCTCAGGTCTGTTGTTAATTCATTAAAAAGTTGTGGTTTTTGGGGGGTTTCTTTTTGAGGAGTGTTGAAAACTTTATTTACAATGAAATCAATAAATTATAGCTTAATTTGCTTTAAAAGTTTTTTAGCTATGATCATACCATTTAATAACAACCCATGATTTGGCATTCATTTTTTTTTCAGCTCCATAAATTCAAGACAGGCAGAAGTTGATGGCTACCAGGAGCATGGGTTGTGTGCCATGGCTTGTATTGTCACAACTGGATTGATCACGCCCATGAAAGAAATCTGGAACTTCTTCTTGCCCAGCTACAGCTCCCCATCCCCTGGCGCTGACCAGCTCTTGACCTCATTGGTTGTCACCTATGGCCTATCAGAGAACTATGCCCCCAGCATAATAGGGACACCTTTCGTCCCGATCGGCGGGGGCGAAAAGTCATCGTTTCCTCTCAGATGTTCCCTGATCACCTGGCTGCTGCCGACATCCAGCTTTGAATCCGGCCCATCCAAACTATCCATGTCGCCTGTGAGAGTGGCGGAGCTTTTGTTTGCGCTCACTCTTAGAGAACCGTGTGTCATGCTGCAGGGCGACAAATCAAGACACGACCCCGAGCTGGACACGTCTGTTCATGAAGCAGTTTATCTGAAGTCAACATTTGATTACAGACATGAGCACAGCAATCAGGCATCTCATCCTTTGAATGAGGGGGCGACGCCAAACAATCCACACATTTCAGCAGTGTTCGATTTCCTAATCAAACATATTTTAACGTTGTCAGAGTTGATTGACTCACAGGTAACTTCTCTCCGGCCATTTGAAAAGTGGATCATTTATAATCTAAGTAATCAATAATCAGATGTTTGGTGGAACCAGTTAGAAAAAAATCTGCCTTTTATTTTATATGCTCATGTTGTTGTTTTTCTGCTATTTGTAGGTATCTTTAAAATCTACACTTGAACTTAGTAGGCTTTCTTTAGCATAAACATAATATATTTTTCTCAGAAATGTGCTTTATTTATTCATTGGTAAAATTATCATAGCATTTTTGGGGGGGATTGTTTTCCGTTTCATATATTCTATCTGTGTTAGGCAATGGATTTAAATATTTTGATTTCCTTATCCTTGTTGAAAAATTCCCCCCAAAAATTCAGCTAAATACCATCAAATGAGCAAAGTTGTGGAAGCTAAATGTTGTTTTTTTTTCAGATGCCCGGTCGTGATTATTTGAGTTGTCTCTCTTGTGTCCTGGCCAAACTGCTGTATTTTTTAGACAACAAGGGCCAGGCCTCTGTAGACATTCTGAAAGTGTTCAAGAAAGTTTTGGATCACTTGACCACAGCCACCAAGGCCAAGATCACTAGGGATGGACTCAGGGGCCTCATGAGTACTTTCAACAATCTGTGCGCAATGGTCACCTGGGACGACAGCTCCAACCGGAAGCTCTTCTGGATAGCAGAGGTCATCAGAGCTTCTATCCCAGCTGCCTTCCTTGAGATGGCCATTGAAATTACTTCTGGCCAAGTAAGAATATGAAAAAAAATACTGTTGTGGTATTTATTTGCCCAGATGATTTTTTAAATTATTATAGATTCATTTTCATTGTGTTTATTTGATACATTTTAAAAGTGGGAGAAAGAGAGGGAAAAGAACCCTATTTAGTATTGCGCAGTTATATCCAAATGTGCATTTAACACTGTTAAAAACTGACGGGCTGGTTTAACAACCAATTGATTAGAGCTCTTTTTTTGTGTGTGTAAAAATAAGTAGTTCATTAAAACAAGTAGATACTTCACTATACTTTGTTTTGAATGGAACATTTTCTTCATTATTTGAAACTATCTAATTATCAGCCCTTTAATAATTCTCAATTAACAAAAACACTCTTATTCCCTGAAGTTTAAGAAATTGAGCATAAACCTGATTTTATTGTTGTAACTTTGTATTGCATAAAATAGGAAGAATCATTTTTTTTTGTTTAATGTCATTTATTTAAGCTGCATTGTGACAAAAGAAGGGACCCACCAAAACATCGGCATCGGAGGCATCGTCCATTTGATGATGACAGTCCGCAGGAATCAACTAGTAGACATGAATTTGATTCATTCAACAGCAGCAGTAACATCATGGACGTTGAGTTTGAAAGTGACAACAATATGATGGACTTGGATGACACAAAAGCCAGCACTGGTAATTTAAGTTACTTTCATCATCATCATCATCATGTCCCTTAGTCCTTGGACCATTGGGGCGCCACAGATGACATGTGAACTATCCTCCTCCATTCGTCTCTGTCTTCTGCTCTACGCACAGCATCGCCTAGCTTTAGTCCCATCCACTCTTTGATGTTATCTTCCCATCTTTTTTTGTCTTCCTCTTCTTCTCCCTCCTCTTGTGGTGACCTGCATGATTTACTTTAAAAAGTTACTACTAGTAATTTTTTGCCATGTTCTCAAATGTCAAAGAAACCTTTTCTTATCAACTAATTTCTTTTTTCATAATTAAGGACCAGATAGATTAATATCTCTGTGTTTTTATTTTTTAAGGCTGAATAGTTGAACATTTATTGCATTAAAAAAACAATTGAGAAAAGGTCGGTTTGTAACATAATGAAACAACCTCTAAAAACAAAGTTTTCCCTAAAAATCCTTTATAAAATTTAATATTAGCAATGGTAGTGGGGCTGAAAATTTGACAAAGTATGCAAACAAGTAAGGCACTTCATAACAATCCCAATTAGTGCTTATACCCCCCCCCCCCCGAGGGGAATAATGTAATCAAACAACCTCTTTTACACCGCAGAAAGAAAATATAACGCATGTGCAATATTTTTTTTTCAGAATCTCAATTAGCGCAGTTATTTGGAATTTTTTTTTCTTGAAATCAATGTCCTCATATTTCCTTAATCTTCCCCTTGTAAAACAGGAAAAAGGTAGTTTTTAAGGGGGCAAGGCTGAAAATTTGATAGAATGTGTTGGCACGGCAAGAGTCTATGTGCCAAGTTTCAGCTGGATAGGTTGATGGCAAGTGGGTCCATTAGTCACCACTAGATTTTGCCCTAAACACTCAAAAGCGAAGTTAATATAAAGGATTTAAAAATGGCTCTCAGCTAACAATTAGTAAACCTTCTCAGTCGCTTGGGAATAGTGGTGATAGGTTGGGTCTTATTGTTTTCAACATACCCATAAGGATTAATAAAAATTTGTTCCTTTACAAATGGCTTGTAAAGTAAACAATATGTAACACTGGACTAAAATTTTTCAACATTTCATGTCTGTTTATTTACCCTTAGATGTAAGTAACTTCCTTTTGCATGAGAACCTGAGCGAGATGCAACAAGTCCGTTTATTGTGCATGGAGCTGCTGGGGAAGCTGATTGCACACGACGGTCATCAGAAGAGTGGACTTGATGAAAGGCAGACCGGCCGACCCCAGGTGGATGTTGACCATGTCAAGGGCAGATTGTTGAACCTGATCGCCACCGATTGCTACGACCCCAAATTATCCTTCCATGTGCATGTGGTAAGTGTTTATAAGCTTTAGAAGCTGAGATTAAACACGTGGCGTCCACTCATATAATGACCAAAACTCTATGCACAGCTGGAGATATTCTAACAAAAATTAACAAGTTATGTTGTCAGCCATTTGTGGTGGAGATTTTTTTTAAGACAGAAGATTATTTTTGCAACTTACATTTCTAGGTGTACTGTGTCGCTACATTCCTCTAAGTAAGATAGATTTGTATTTTTGGCTCTTTTCTGATTTCTCTTTCCCCCCACAGTTGTTTACAGTCACAAAACAGCTCCTCACACATGCTCACAGGATAACACCAACCAATATCAAGTCTATTATGGGTGCCTTCAAGTGAGTTATACAATTTTCTTCAATTTATGTGTGTGTGTGTGTTTATATAATAATAATTTCTGAGTGGATGCTGTTCGCCCCGCTCAAAAAGGGTAATACAGTTTGAACCCTTTTAAAATATTTTTACGGCCTATCTCCCTCAATGAAAGCTTTTGCAGTAAAAAAAATTGACATATTATTTAAATTTTTTACTCAATTGTATCCTTTGTTTGCAATGCCCCATTAGCACTACCTGGTGGTAATTATAATTCTTTTATGGTTCTTTCTTGTTGCCCCACTCACATTGCCCACAGTGCTGAGCTGTCATTCACTGCATCCCAAAACAAAACAAAAAAAATAAGTTACCCACTGTGCATTGGTGGATATATGGAGGGCCATCTGGAATTATTGTTATAGTTTATGCACCTATTCCCTATTTTACATAAGCAATGTGATTGCGTTGCCCTAGCTAGTAATATATATACTTTCCTTTTTTTTCTTTTCTTGTCGTTGAAGGCCTTTTGTTTTGTCATTTTTCTTTATGTTACATTTATTTACCTTGTCCTGTTTTGTATTTAAGCTTTGACCTATTTTGTTCTGACTTTTTTTTTTCACACGGCGTGAACGTAATTTCTTCCAAATTATAATTTAAACTCCGATGCATTGTCATTTAGTATATCCTCCTTCTAGGCAAACTGCCAAGGCCTTAAATCAGGACCAACAGATCTGCTGTAGTATTGTCACTCACCTTCGTTACATCATTCCTCACCTATGTGACCCACCTGACGGCTCCTCAGCTTTGGATGACTTGCTTTACTGCAGGGACATCTTCTTCATATTCATCTCAGACTTCTGGTACAGCAGTAGATCATAGAGTTGTGCCAGCTATTGATGCTAGAATGCTATGTACTATAAGTTGATAAAAGACATGAATGTTAGAATGCTGTATGCTTTAAGTTGTTGAAGATACTATCACAAGTTAGTTAGGTTGTAAGCCTATCAATAATGTATTACTGTCATGTTGTTGTTTTTTTTATACATTCCTGAATAAATTTTCAGTATTTCAGTGATTAGTAAAATACCCTACATGCCATTAAAAACCCTACGTGCCATTTCAGTAGATTTATATTTTTACACGAATGTCTCGCCAAGTTAGTATTAACATGAACTTATTCATTTAAAATTTCCAGGCATCTGGCTAATGAGGGAACCTTTCAACTGAAGCTTGAGGTCATCAAAGCATTACTGGACCTCATAAAGGTAAGTCGAGGGCTCATGGTGCTTCCTTTTCACAAGCAGCCCTCCCCTACTCAACAAGTTTTATATTAATAGTTCTGAGTGGAGAAAAAAAATGCTATTACGCAGCGACCTTCACGCGTGATGGTTGAATTTTTTTTCAAGGAGAGGAGACCATGATATTAATAAAGAGCCAGGGGTATGGCGTAGGACTATCTGTAGGACTATTGATTAAAGGCCGGCGTGTAAGGTGTAAGGACTGTCTGTAGGAGTATTTTAAGGCTATAAATAAAGGCCGGCATATATTATAGAAAATGAGAAGTTAACTCTTTTTTTGTACACTTGGACCCTCCCGGCTATTATCTCAAAATACCTGGACCGGTGTAAAAAAAATGCACCCAGTTAAGCATCCTAAAACGGTCAGATATTCTGAATAGCATAGTATAATAAAGTTTGCATTAAGAAATATGGAAATTTTTATAAAAAACTGATTATAATGCATTTTTTTTAAATCATAAAAATAGTTTGATACATGTATGTTATTAATCTGTCAAAACTTTATTTTTGCATCAGCATGACCCAGAAGGTACTTGGGGTCAGCTGAAGGTTATGACAGCAGAAGATGACCAGACGTTTGAATTGGTCACTGCTTGTACATTGATTACTCAAGCTCTAGCTGAAGGCAATGTCCAGATTAGAAATTTTGTAGCTGAATCCATCAAGTGGTAAGTTCTGTGTCTCGCCTAACTTGCTAAAGTGTGCTGTTTAGTTGCACAGAAATTTTATAACCCACTCCATCAAGTGACAAGAGCTTTGCTAAATTACTACCTGAAATGTACTGTTTATTTTTGTAGACGTTTTATTTTCAAATGTTACGATAAACGTTAAGAGAAATTTTAATATTTCTGTTTAACTTCTGAAAGAGGCTTCCTGGATAGTTAGACAAAAGCAATTCTTTTTTCAACAATCTGATTTTAGTTTAATCTTTAAAATCCTTCCTTAATTCAAGTATCGCTCTCTTTTATAAAATGTTCAACTGTTTGAAGTTTTTATCCAACCAGATTTTGTGATAAACATTGAAATTTGAACAACACAAGTTATTTTGGAAAGGTTATATTAGAAAGGGAAAGTGGGGAGTAGGTTTTTTTTGTTTTTTCTTTTAAATCACGAAGTGGGTCTTATCTAAACCTAACCGCTTTTGTGCTTCATTTTGTCCAATAGAAAGACATCCTGCCAATATATTTACTGCCTGTGACCTTAGCTTTACCAAGGTAATGTTTCATTTCAGGCTATTTGTTAAAAAAGATGCAGTAGGCCATGAAATACCCAGAGACAAAGTTTCTCAAAGCAGAGCCTTTGAAAATGTATTTGTGCAGTGCAGTGACCTGTTCGATTTTGAGGTAATTTTCAATTTGAAAGACAAACGTGTAATAAATTTAATGTTGCATAATTATTTTATGTTATGCATAGTTTTTTGTTTCATATTTATTTGCTTATAACTTACATTTTATTGAATTAATTGTTTTAAAAAAATACTTTTTGTTCTTTAACTTTTATGTAACTTTTAATTAGATTATGTATTATGTTTATGGATGTTTGTTTAATTAGATTATGTATTATGTTTATGGATGTTTATTTAATTAGTTTATGTATTATGTTTATGGATGTTTGTTTGATTAGATTATGTATTATGTTTATGGATGTTTGTTTTTCATTATGTCATGTTAAAAAAAAAATTCAATGTTTGAAAATAGCAACAGAGCATGACAAAGCTGAGATTGGCTGATGAGATGACCAATCGCCAGGCCACCTGTCTCCAAGTTCTTATGAACGTCATAATGTGCAGCCCATATTGTGAAAAACAGTGCCTCCTGGGAATGTGTCAGTTGATTGCAGATAAGGACATTCCATTGGACATTGTTAAAAAGGTTGGGAGATAATTCTGTTATAAAAATATAAAATTGTAAAAGCTTGACCTGGTTGGTCAAAAGAGTTAATTTCACTAGTTTTGTTGTTTATCATTAATTAGCAAACGTATAAGAAATCAGGCGGCTGCTGGTAAATCCTATGAATAAAGTTGTTCAGAAAAATATCTAGAAATATGTTAAATTTAATCACAAAGAATATAAATATAAAGAAAGAGAATATTGATCAGCATGAATGAATTCTTGTATATCCTGCTGCATTTATATAAAATGTAGAAATAATTTAAATAAGCAACTGGTCTCAACGACTGGCTAGCATTTCGTTGCACAAATTTTTTTAGTTGCGCCCACATTCATTTCTTACATGATCATTCCAATGCAACCATAAATTTATACTTGAAAAAAAAATTGTTTAGTTGTATTAAAAATAACACCATATTAATATTTTCTTTTAAGTAGTTGTAGATCTAGGCTAATGGAAATTTTAGTTAAACTAGTTGCATATCTAGGCTAATGGAACAGCTATTACGACAACTGAGGAAAATGTCTGTTTTCAGATGTTGACCTTCATCTGCCAAAAGCTCAAGTTCCCAGACGTCAAGACTTACGTGGAAAATCATCTTCCTTACTTAGTCCGCAACTGGCTGCAGAAAGATGTCATCAATGCCCCCATTGAAAAGTTTCCATATCAGATTCTTGGCTATGCTGATGTGAAACAGTTTGTCCAGTAAGTATCACACAAAGATTCAGATGTTGAGGTCCCTGATCAGATTCTCAGTTACCCTGATTTTTAAACAATTTGTCAGGTAAGCATTGCATAAAGATTTAAATATTTGTGCACTAACATTGGGGTCAGCTTTTGAAGAGATTTCTTACGAGTAGAAGCATTTTATGGATAATTAACATCTTTAAAGTGAATCTTGCTTTGATGACTGTAAACCAGTTTACACAAGCTCCACATAAGAATAGATCTCCAGTTTATTTAGCAGTGGCAAGTAAAATATTTCAGGAACAAAGCATTGAGCTTTTTCTTTCAGCTCATTACAAAAATTAACATATTGTATTGTAATTCTTGTGATGAAAATTTATCCAAAACTGATTTTATTATTAAGAAGTTTATAGTAATGTGCTTTATAAACATGTTAAATATAAAGTGTGTTCCAATAGGGGCCATCAGGACCTGATCATCACTGAAATCCTTGTTACCAAACTAAGTCTTGATGAAATCCACCCTGTCCTCAATGCTATCCACGTTGACGTCCATGAGGCTCTGCTCTCAGCCCTCCCTCAGATCTTGGTGAACATTCTTCCACTGTTTGCATCCAAACCACAGAAAGATGCCCCTGCGTCACTCCATAAGCAGTTCAGACATGCAACAGCCTGTTACTCAACCCTTCAAGAAATTCTCCCAGAGAAGGTTGGGCAGTTTGGTTTTGCTCTCTTGATTTTAAGCTTGAGATAGGTATAGTTATAAACTAGATGAGTAAAATGTGGTATCGGAAACTAAAGGTCAGGCAGCTCATTCGCAGTCAGGGACTAAGGTGTATAAATGATGTGGAAACTGACCTACATCAGCTCGGAATCTGTGTGTTGAAATGAAAAGGTCATGGACTGGTCAGAGTTGATGGATTTAGTGATACGGGCCAGATTTGTTTTTTTTTTAATCATTTTATTTTTAAACAAATGTGAGAAGGTTTCATTTATGTTGAGGATAGGTTAACAGCTTACGTTGAGGATAGTTAAACAGCTTACGTTGAGGATAGGTTAACAGCTTATGTTGAGGATAGGTTAACAGCTTACATTGAGGATAGGTTAACAGCTTACGTTGAGGATAGGTTAATGGCTTACGTTGACGGCCGACACACCCTTTAACTAGAACTAATTCATCCAAATTTAAAATGACTTCATTCCTATCCATTCTTACAGGAGATAAATGACTGCGTTGGTGACAGACTTGGTGACATTGTCATGAGACTTCTCAACTGTCTGGACATTGAGAAAAGTAATTATGGTGCATCAGGATTGGCTAATGGGTACGTTTTTTTAATTACATTCAGTTACAGATGGACCAGCCCATTTTGGTATGTTTATTAGTTATATTTAATGAGAAAAAGAGATGGGTGGTGCTCTATTATTCAATGTTTTATAAATAACAGAGAAGTTTACAGTCTTTAAACTGAGACATTCCTGACAGCTATAAAATTATTATCCTTTGAAAAGAAATCAAAGTCTACCTTCTGATGGCCCCCTCAACAGTTTTAAAGGTTCTTATTTAAAACAGGATATATACTTTCAGTGAGACCACGCTCAAGATGACCTACCCCCCACCTAACCCTCCCTGCTACACTCACCAGGTGGTCAGGATAACCCTAGACCACATGGCTCAGAATTTTACTGTAGAAAATGAGGCAGATGCATCATTGGTCAATGTTCTAATTAAGACACCAGTAAGTCATTCATTAGTCAAGGTTCTCAGTAAGACACCAGTAGGTAATCAGTCAAGGTTCTGCTTAAGACACCATTAAGTCATTATTCAATGTTTTCATTAAGACACCAGTAGGTCATCAGTCCATGTTCTGCTTAAGACACCAGTAAGTTAGTTATTAAAGTAAATTCACTTTCTGTATGTGTTTCATTCTCTGTGTTTTGTCATAGTTTTTTCACATTACTTGGATACGTGTAAAGTGCTTGTGAATTTTAAGCTTCATTTAAATGGACCCAATCCAATTTACTCAAATAAGGTGGAATTTATTGTTCAGTTAAAATTATCGTATATGGCTTATGCAATAAAAAAAAAGTAGCCCCACTAAGGCAAAAATTCATTGACATATTTTTATCTCTTTATATCTGTCAGGATGGTATAAGCCAAGTTCTTCTCTCACTGTCCACCTTGCTGTGGCACACCACCCAGCCATTTGAACAAGTTCGCCAACTCAAGATGTACGGCCTGTTTGTGGACACTGTGTTGGTGGAGCTGCCCAGTGGACTTGGGGGAGGCTGGGCCTCTGTCATCAGGGATATCATAAACAGACTTCTCATCATCATCAGGAACAGGTTTGAGACCATTGCTGTTATGTAAAGAGCTAATGAACTTGTTTGGTAACATTTGTATTACTGTGTTAATATTTCTTTAAATTAAGATACCGTAGCGTAACACTTTGGCGCATAGGGTAAAAAAACCTTTGTGCATGACAGTGAAAAATAAGGTTATTAACACTGTAAACTCAATAACTTCGTCAAATCACACGTTATTGATTTCCCTTCATTTATATAAATTACAGGAGTCTGTATTACTACAGCTAGCACAATTAACCAAGGAATTATGTCTAATTCCTTCTAAATTGCTATCAAATTCATCATCTGCGTCAATTTTTAACTAAATTGATATTTATCAGTATTTAAAAAATCTAAATTTAACGAAAATCTTACTTTAAACAAGATATTTTCCTAATTCATTTAAAAATTGCTAGCCACCCATTTATGAATGAAGTAAACATGCTTGTATGCGCATGCAGGAAAGGGAAGATTCTTCATGATTTTTTTTCTGGTTGCTGTGATATGGACGCCTTTAGGCAACGTGTCAAAAAAAGTTTACACCTGGTCGCTACCGCCTGGATATAAAGTGTTAATGTTATTTTTTTTCATAAATACAATTTTTAATTATTTTTTTTTTAAATTAAAAAGGTTTTGAAATTTAAAATGGTTGACAACGCTGTCAGAAAAAAAAAATAAAAAAATGTGCCTTTACGATCTTTAAAAAATTCAATGATTTTGTTAATATTGCATGCAAATGCAAACTCTTCATCTTGTTACTGACGTCCACTTAATAAACCCTGTAATAATTACTATGTTCAGTTTCTCCAACGTTGTTTCTTAAATATCCCACAGAGCTGCTGAAAGCCAAACCTGGTTGAGTCCAAGTTATGAAGAAGAGGCTGTACTGACCTGTCTGGGGACCCTGCACAATGTGGTCACCAATGGACTGACAATATGTCCAGATGTTAGTGTAAACTCAATGGTCCCAGTATTTACTTAACTTCCAATCTGGCATGTTTGGCTTACTTAAGTCTGAGCAAAGCTCCCATGATCAGAGCATCGACTTACACGATTCAATTATTTTACTCCTGCAATACCATTTGATGGATTTTATCTTTTCCCCCATTGGCCGCAAGTCAATTATGTTTTTTTTTTCTCAAACAATACATTTTGAATGTATCACACAGGAAATGGTGAATTACATCCAGCAAATCGTCGATGCAGTGGCCAGTATTGCGGAGAAAAGCTCAAGCATCAGTCAGAAGTCTGTGCTGTTACTGACAGATGTAATAAAATCAGGCGTGGACTGTCCTGAGTTGAAACAAGTCCTGGGCAAACTTAACCCTCTCCCACCAACACCTGGCCTTGAGACAGTCAAGCTTCTGGTGGACAGGCTATCTGGGCCAGGAAATGACACACTTGAAAATGTAAGTTGAATTTTTATCGCGCAACTCACATCATAGCATCCTTGTGTCTTATATATTTCTGTCTGTTATATGAATTGCAATTTTGAAAAGACTCAACAAACCCATATATTTAGCAAGGAATGTCCATCAATGTAATTTTATTTCAATAAGCAGAAGAGACAAGCTGATGTTCTTGGAAAGGTTGTGGGGAAGAAGTTCAAAAAGACTGAAAGCGCTTTCCCTTTAAAACAATGCTTCTTAACCTTTTCGCCGGGCCCCGTGGCCCTCTTGATTTAAAAACATATTACCCACATCCCCACGATAAAGAAATGCTCATAAAAATACAAATAAACCTGATTTTCTTGCCTTGCCTCCCGCACCCCCTGGACAGAACCTGATTTTCTTGCCTTGCCTCCCGCACCCCCTGGACAGAACCTGATTTTCTTGCCTTGCCTCCCGCACCCCCTGGACAGAACCTGATTTTCTTGCCTTGCCTCCCGCACCCCCTGGACAGAAAACCCTGCTTTAAAACATCTTTTGTGAACGAAATATTTAACAGATTTTTAAAGAAATTCCATAAAGCATACTGCAAAAATGTGATAAAAATTTAGTTAACTGCAAAGCACTTAAAATATCTTGAAAGCGTAGGATGACAGACAGACTTGCTAACAGTAAGTTTATCTCAGTAAATTCATGTCTATTGGTTTTAACATTGCAGCAATTCAAAAGCTTTTTGGAGGTCTGTGTCTTCATGGCTGATGTCCAGTCCCAAGGCTTGGCGTTGAGGCTCAAGAAGTTAACCACCTACATCATCAATAATCAGAAAGAGTTAAAAAGTATGGCTGCTTCAGATACTGGTAAGTTTTGAAATTACCAAACAAATAATCCAGTTGTATAGTTTGAAAATATTGAAATGTTTATGAAAGTATGTGGCAAAGGTTTATCCTCTTAAAATGTTTCTGTCCAATTTTATTGGCCTAAAATTTCTTGATGAGATCTCTTTTAAAAATTACAACTCTTTTTAGGTTTGACCTGTTTAAGAAAAGTGATTGATGAGTTGGTCAAGCTGGTGACCTCCCCTTGCAGCCAGGTCATGTCTGCAGCAGCTGCCTGCCTGGGTGCCATCGGACCCTTGGATCTTCAGTGTCTGTCGTTACCACACAGTCCGGAGGGAGCCAGCTATGCCATGGCCATACAGGCGTACAGAGGGCATAAGTTTGAGAAGTATTGCTGGGTGTTCCATGCATTGGACTCTTGTTTGATGGAGCAAAAGTGAGTACAAATGTTATTGCATTGTCAATTTTTGGGGGTTTTACATTTTAGCCATAGTTTTTAGGACGTTACCAGTGGATCAAAAATTATTTTAGTTGCTGCCAAGAACCATTTGACAGTAAACAGCATGCACATCTACAGCCAACCTTATCTTCTGAGGTAGTGTAGACCAAGTCCAAAAATTTATGACATTTTTCAATTTAGTGGTTGGTATAGCTAACACAGGTAAGTCTATGCATCCCAGCAGTAGGTGTTGCACATATAACTAATATAGTTCATCCAATGATTTAGTCATATACATAATTTGATTCAGTCCAACAGCTGGTAAGATTATTTATATAACTCTGCTATGTTCATCAGCTGGTACATTTAACAAATTATGTTTATTTATTAATGGAACTTTGAGAATTAATGTAAGCAAAATTTTTTTTTCAGCCTCAAAATTGTGAAAATGGCTGGCCACATCCTTCAGACAATCCTGGCAACACCATTAGGAGAACATTTTGAAGCTGACTATTCAAAACGATTGAAAGACAAAAGTTTTTTGTTTTACTACCTACATCCTTTCAAAAGAACAAATACTGTCAAGGGGGTAAATTTACACTTATTATTTTATACCTTAATGTTGAAAACTTATAAAATCAGAGCTCTTATACATAAGTCGTTCACTTTTATTTATCCCTATCAACCTTAACAACTATTAGAAAATAATAAAATAATTAACAAAATTAGCCGTTCACTTTGAGAACATGTACTACAATGAGCATGTACCATTTGGTTTGTTAAATATATCACTTATTTTAAAATATCTTTCATTTAATAGTCAAATGTCTTTGTTGAACTCATAACTTCAAACTGGGTCCTCAGAATATCTTTTCAATGAGACTGAAAGTGAGATCATTCTGCCATTTATTGTTAACTTATGTTAAAAACTGTGCCCACCCCGTAGCTATGTTAATCTCTCAGAACATGGTACCACCCTGTAGCTATTTTTATCTCCTCAGAACATGGGCCCACCCACCAACACCACAATCAAACTTAAAGATGACTTTAGCGCCATTGACAGCGCTGAATTGTGGCTGGGCAGTCAGACTAACTTCAGCCATAAAGATTGGATCCAGGACCTCACCTCTGAACTCCTAAAGGCTGGATTGATCCAAGATGAAATCATGAATAAAATACAACCCATGTGTGCACTGAAGGTAACCGTCATCTCTGGTTTCCCTTTGAGCATATTATCTTGTGTCATGCCAAAAGACGTGACCTGGTGATAACTAATTCAAAACCCAAGAAACATGTGTCTGTGTGGGGAACAATAGGGAAATGTTTAGCATTAATAATTGCAGAAATACTGTTACCATTGAGTTGAATTGCCCATTGTAAATATTTTTATAACAAAGTTTAACCTAACAATGGGACAAAGCTCAAGTAAAGCTAATATTGGCTTGATCTCTCTTTGAACCCAAATATCGGGATAATGGAAAAATAATATTTTTAACTAGATTTAGAATAAAACAGTCTTTGAAAATTTAATCAATACTTTATGCACTTCTTTTTGTCATTTTTTAAAGTCAGATTTAAAAAAAAAATAATAATTATAATAATAATAATGTACAAGATTAGACAGCGTAACTTGTTGCATTGTATTTTCTTGAAATACAGAGCAGTTTTTGTGTTGAAAGTCTTCCCTATCTGATTCATGACATTCTGGAGAATGGGGCCACACGCTGCAGGGAAATTCTGTCTTCTCATATATCAGCTTTCTTTAATAAGTTTTATCAGACTACTTCAGGCCCAGCTTCAGGTAAGAATGACAACATGAGTCATAAATGATGATTTTTTTTTCAAAAGAAACATTTAAACTTCACATGCCAGGATTAATCAAAAAAAAAAAAAAAAGTTTCCCACCAATTTTTTGCTATGCATAATGAATGGATCAATTTTTTTGTAATGAAAATAATGTACTTTCCTACAGTGCCTGGTCTTGTTAGTGTGAAGAAAGAATCTGTGAGAACCATGCTGAATGTTGTGCAATATTTAAGGAAACAGAAGCGGCCACAAGACAGGTTTGTCACAAATTGATTTATTTTTTTTTATAGTTCTTATTTCCATTTATTCTAATTTTTTTTTTTGAAGACAAGAAAATTATTAGAAAACAAAATAATAGATATGGTTTAAAATATTTTTTTAAATTGATTTTCATTTAATTGTACACCCCCACCCCCCAAATGAAAAATCAATAATGCTTATTACTGTTATATAAACTTAACACTGCGTGCTTAGATTTCCCACTTTCTGTTTTGTGCCAGTGATGAAGTACCAGAGACAGCATGGAACAACAACTTCTGGCTTGACATCAATTACCTGGAGGTGGCAGGGGCGGCCCAGTATTGTGGGGCCAATTTTTCCACTGTTCTCTTCGCAGAAATTTGGTGGGACATCAAGCAGTGAGTCATGTCTTGAGTCACCTTGAGCTGTACTTCAAAGCAACGTCAATGTGTCCTACACTGCACATTTCATGAGTTAGTTATTTCATTTTGTGCACCTGCTGCTGTAAATCCTTTCATCTGCTGGGAGAAGAATTTTTGCTTTGTTTAAAACATTTTACCTTGATTTTTCCCATCAAAAAAAGGACTAAGAGTAGCAAATGTAGGAATATATGAATCAGGCTTTCTCAACTTTTGCACTGCCTACATATGAATTATCTTTCAACTTTCCATTTGTACTTCCTTATGTTTCTTTGTCATAGTTTGATCTCTTTGTTTGTTTGTTTTTTTTATTTCCAATAATTGACAAAAGTTAATACATACTTAACCCACAAACTCTCAAATGCAAATGTGCTGTGGTCTTAACTCTTTTTAGTATCAATAAAATACCCAGAGACCCATATAAGTATAGATATTCTGAGAGTAAATTGGAAATGAATCATATGGTACCCTTCAATTTACGACAGTTATATTGCAACGTTAAATTTAAGACGGTTGATGGGTTTTAAAAAAAAAAAATTGCAGCTTCTGGGCTATTTACTTACAAACATTTTTCTAACTGCACGGCAGACAGTATTTACTGTCAAGTGCTTGAAACATGTATTTGATTTAAATTATAACATCAGCCAAGTGTCCATGTTTGTCTGATAGAACCAGTGGCTACGACACTTCATTCAGCAACACCAGCAGCACAAGTTCTCCCAGCCAAGATTCTCCTTTAGACCCACTCTCAGATGCCCTCAATTCTCAGGAGGCTGGAGGTCAGAGGCTGCAGGCACTACTTCTGGAGGCTTACAAGAACATTGGTGACCCAGATGGTATATATGGTTGTGGAGCTGGTAGAATGGCAGAACCAATGGCTAGGTGAGCTTAATTTCCTGCTGTACTGATGTCAGAATATTTTCTTTTAAATCAAATAATAATTTTTAATCTATAAATTAAGATTATTTAATATATTCTTTGAATTAATAGAAATTCTGAACCGTTTAATGAAGAACTATAAAATAATCTTACTTTTAACGTAATGTATTATTGTGATTCATTGCGACTTTTAAAAGTAAATTCATTAATGTATAAGATTATTAAATGTGATTACACCATGCAAAAGTTCTGTTGTTTTTTTTAAACCCTGCTAATGTAGATTTAGCCCTCATTTTTTATCAACACTCCAGAACTGCACAATTTGAGTAAACGAAATAGAAATATTAAAATTGTCATAAAAATGTCAAAACTTTAGTTAGGAAATAAGTAGCTTAACTGCCCTTTGGGCTTACTTTTAAAAAAATCCACATTCAATTTTATTTGTTACATTTATACAAATATACGCATAATGTGTGATCAGGGTACAGACATATCTTCACGAAGGGGAGCAAACCAAGGCTCTGACCACACTGGACATAGAAATATCTCACAGCCCCTCACAGTCAATAACTCCATTGCTAGAGGTATGTCAAAAGTTGTGTACGTAATGATCCAACTGACTCATTTCATCCTATCCTCAGTGATTCTCAACCTTGTCATATGAAAGCCTGCTTTTATTTGTATCTAAAGGATCACAAAATTGTCACATTTTGAAAATATGTTCCTTTTTATCAAGCGTGCAAAAGTATGACTCATGCTTTTGACATTTTGCATCTGCCAAAATATTTTATTAAATATAAATTTACAAGTATTTGTGCTTTAAACTAATTTTGTTAAAACTGTAGTAGTGATTTACATAAATGTTCATTTTTTTTCTTGTGTTTCTTTCTTTGATAGTTTTATAAATCAATCTTAGACAGCAAAATAACATTTAATTGATCCAAGTATTTTAGTGTTAGTATTTGCAATTCTGTATGAACTTATTTCTGACTGTTCATTGGAATTAAAAACCTTGACTAAGTAATTTGTGCTGATAAGACTAATGCTTTTGTTAAATTTTTAGGCCATTGAATCATGTGGCGCAGACTACATCCTGCAGCGTTGTTTGTCTGAACTGAAATATGACAGATGGGGACTGACACCTCAGTCTTCTTCTCAGACGTCAACCCCAAGTGAGCTAGAGGAATTTGCCTACCAGGCGGCATGGAAGCTTGGACAGTGGGATGTCAAAGTACCTGCCAGGTAGACCTAGAAATATATCTGGCTATAAATTCTGCTCATAAAAATTTATTTTTTTCTTCTTCCTTTAACTTTTGTAATCTGGAAATTAATAGTATTCTTATGTTATTTAAAAAAAAAATTAATGTAGATATTTATTTATTTTATACATTTCAGGCAGAAGAAGAGTGTCCCATTTCATCAGTCATTGTACCATGCCATGTCTTCAATACGGGATGGACACTTGGATGTGGCCAAATGTGCTGTAGAAGCTGCTAGGTAAACAAAAATACTTTCACCATAAATCTCATCAGACATTGGGGGCGGGGGGTGTGTGTTAAATTTATGTGTTGCCACCAAAATTTAAAGTTTAAATCAGTATAGAATAATAAACAAATTGGTATGGGGGAAAAAGCAGATGGTTTAGTAATTTACGGTTCAATTTTTCAATATGTTTTTAAAATTAGGCTAGTTGCCATTTTGGAAATACAATTATTTTTTTTCATTTATGTCTTTGAGTATATAATATTTGTTAAATCTACTGCATCTAGTCCATGGGAAAACATTTCTTTAAAATAACGCTCTTATGTTTTAACAAAATTCATTTACTGCAGAATGTATTTGGTCAGCATCTTTGATCCAAAGGTGGAAAACAGCCTGAGCTTGTCTCCCTTTTTGTGTCAGCTACAATGCTTGAGTCACTTGGATCATGTGCTGGAAAGTTCCCTCAGGTGAGTTGACCGTGCTTGAGCCTCTTGGACCATGTGCTGGAATGTTCCCTCAGGTGATTTGACAGTGATTGAGTCATTTTGACCATTTGATGGTATGTGCTTTTCAAGTTTGGATTTTATTCGTTTTCCAACACGGTTTGACTTTAGAAGGGTTCAGAATGTGTTTGTCATGTTTGACTGGGACAATCCCTTTTTTTAAATTAATTTAATGGTCTTACATGTCATCACACTGTGTTCGTACTTCACTGACATCCAAGACTGACAGTACAAGACAGAATGCAGTAGAAAAAACAAATGCAAGAACAAATTGAAGATTTTCACAGTAGCTCAATTAAGACCTGACATTGTCAGTGCTTCACGGATGTGTACTAAGGACCATCGGTCAAAATCAAAATTTTTTAAGGTTTTTTTTTTGCCAGAATTGTCCAATTGAAGCTTTGAAAAGCAAAGAAATATCAGCTGATTTCGAGTGTTCATTCCAGAATTTCATCACAGAAACTTTCGACATTGCATTTATCACTACATGTTATACATTTGATTTGTAAGAGAAAGAATTGGGAGCTATTACAAAGTTAATATTTAGTTTGCAACCATAAATTGTTTTTAATTATCCTTAAACGATAGTCATAAAAGGTCAAGGCTGCTGTCATGATAAGCAATGGATATTCGGATGTGATCGATTGCAATGTGATCACATAGTCAGGCTCATTTCCCTATGGGCAGATCCGTCCAGGATATCTGTGAAATATGGAGCCAGTGTGATCGCAGCTTTAGCAAGCTATTTATTAGTAAGGATCAGTCTTTACAAATATTTTGTTCCATCTTACTACCTTATGATCCAGATTAGATTTTTTTTTCAAATATACTTTATTTGGGAATTTTTTTTAATTTATTTACACTGTATGTTAAGATAATAGTTTATTTATTTCAGTGAAAGCAATATCTCCATACTGGCAGATGGCTGCCATGATAACTCATTTGATTTTGAGTACATCAAGCCTCAGCTGTATCTTGGAGCATCTGTGGGGAAAATACTGGCCGAAAGAGGAAGTCAGTCGGGTGAAGACCTGGAGGTCAGGGCGTTGTGGAGTTTGGCAGTGTGTGGCAGGAAGGCAAAAAGTTTTCAGGTCAAACAAAAATTATTGTGGCTATAACATGCTTTACCTTGATGTTTTTAAATTATGATTTAGTTAAATTTTAAAAAACATATCTACTAATCTTTAATAATAATAATCATCATGTCTACTCCTTGATTTTTGAAAAGGATGTCTACAACACTGTCCCCTCCTCTTAATGCTTTGCACTGATGATAAACCCAGAACTATGTAAATAAGGGATAAAAAATGATTTATGATGGAATACCAGTTAATGACAACCTCGGCTTTAAGGCATTGTAAAGAACGTAACATGGTACATGTAGACAAAAGAACCCTCAAAGTCAGTGCATCTGGAATTATTATTATAGGTTATCCAATTCTTCCCGTATTTTATGCGTGTGACGTTGTTGCGTTGCCCCAGCTAGTTTAAAATAATTGGTTTTAGTTCTTATTACTGTCTAGTACAGTGAAGTAGCAGCAGATTCTTGGTTGTTGCTTTAAAAGAAATCCTTCAATATAAATTGTTGTAAATGATGTATTTTATTTAATGCAAGATCCTTTCAACTCATTGTGTCTGTGTACATGTGCAAAATTCTTTCAACTCATTATGTCTATGCATGTGCAAGATTTTAAACTCAATATGTATGTGAGCAAGATTCTTTAAACTCAGTATGTCTATGTACATGTGCAAGATTCTTTTAGCTCAATATGTCTATGTACACATGCAAGATTCTTTTAACTCAATATTTTTATGTTCATGTGTAGGATCTTTTAACTCAATATGTCTTATGTTTACAGCTGGCTGAGAAAGCTGTCAGAGAACTGAAAACCAAAGACTTGAGTAGAACTTCCCGGCTGAGCACAGAACAGCTTCACATGGAAGAAGCTAAGCTGTTTTGGGCCAGAAGTGAAGTGAATATTGCCATGAGCATCATGAAAACTCTGATCACTAAGCTAAGTCAGGTAGGGGAATCCTTTAAATGAGCATCATGAAAACTCTGATTACTAAGCTAAGTCAGGTAGGGGAATCTTTAAAAATAAAACCTGAGTTGAGGAATATCAATGTTTAGCAAGACTTTCAAATGTTGAGACTATAGTTGTTACAGGCTGGGTAATGCTGTCCTTAAATGCGGGTGTTTGAATGTAGTGAATGTGGATGACATCTGAGGTGTGCATTCTCCCATAGGATCAAGATCCTAGCACATCATGTCCTCCTCTCATGTACGCTCAAGCACTAGGAACGTACGGCAGCTGGCTTGCCGAGACAAAGTCCTCCACACCAACAGTCATCATTAGTGACTACCTGGAGAAGGTATTTGTGCTTTTAATTATTTTTTTTAATATCAATAACTGTAACTGCTTACACCCTTCCCAAATAAGTCATACTTCTGTTTTTTTGTTTTCATCTTCAGATGTATCGGTTTCACTTGTTTTATTCCCCAATATGACATTCATAATTTAACAGCGAAACTGTTTGATTTATTTCCCTCCATTCACCAGACGGTGACACTGATGTTGAAGCACAGAGAATCCATAGCGTGTGACCACACAGCCCCCAACAGCTTCATGTCCCTGGCCAGGTTTGCAGATGAGCAATATCAGCAGGTGGCGGACCACATGAGGTCACCAACGTTTCAAGATAAACAAAATCTTCTGCAGAGGTCAAGGTCAGAGCTCAAGGAGTGTCAAGGTTATGGTCTAAGAGAAAGGTGAGGGATGATTTGATCGCACAAAGTTTTCAAATTTTTTTATTCATGATAAAGTGTCCTCGTTTTATAGCCATTTTAATTGTTTCTATAGTATAGTAGTTACTATCCTAGTGTCTCATTTTTATTTTAATTAGTTTACATGTTTTTAATAATTGTAAAGCACTTAGAGCTTTAACTCTCAAAAGACTGTAGATTTTTCCATTTTTTAATGACCTTGAATATATCTTATTCTTCAAAGTGTCTCATGACTGTAATTTTGTAGCTACCTCCAAGTATTATATATGATTTTAAAGGTAATTGGATGCTCTTTAATTGATACTTGGTGTTTGTACACAATATCCTTGCTAAATTTGATGTTTTATTATTTTTGGGCAAAAAAATTATTTTTTTAAGTCGACAAAAATATAACATCACAGTTTTACAAAGAAGGGAAAAAAAAAGTGTTTCCAATTAAATCAATAAAATTGATATTTTATTAGAATCTGTTCAATACTATAAAACATATTCAAATTTCAAAAGAATAGACTCATAAATAAAAAAGTTATGACTATTTGTAGGCAACAGGTCATTCAAGGAAATATTGCTCAAAAAGTCAAAATTATTTTCAAAAAATAAAAATAATTTTTTTTTTCAAAGGAAAACATATACTGCATCATATTATCCTTTAGAGGGTTATTAGTAAGTATTATTTGAGAAGAAAAGTGAAGAAAAAAAGGCAAATTTTAATAAATAAATTTTTTTATGCATCCCCGAGATACCGATCAAAGGATATAATCCTTCGCCAAGACCATGCATAAAAATTCTTGAAAACAATTTCTTTATTTATTAAAACATACAAATGTATCAAAAAGAAAGCCTGAGACATATGCTCTGACCATTTTACCCTGTTTTGGTAACCCACAATTACATTTTTTGTTATTGTCAATCATTGTCATGTTGCGGCGCACGATGTAAAGATTTCGGGCTTTACAGTATCAGGTTCATCATCAAATATGTCAATTGTTCCCTAAATTGTTCATTAATTGCTACATTTTCTTGATGCTGATACAGTTGATTGTATTTTGCATTGAGATACAGAAGTGTCTCCCAATTTTGCACAGCATGTTTCCTTTATTTTCAGTATCAGAAACTTTTAGGAAACTCAATATAGCCTTGAATATGTCCTTAGTACTAATGGCCTTGCTCATTGTCCATCATAAAAGGATTTCCTGGACATTTCTTGTAAAATTAAGAGCTTGATAAGTCCAGCATTCATAATAATAAATCCACTTAGTAGCTAAAACTCCCCTTCAATGATGTTATAATGGTACCAATTTTTGAAAACACAAAAGTTCTGCGGTCCATTGTCCTGCGCACAAGGCTTACTAATAACCAACCAAATCTGTAGTAAAGTAGAGGTTGAAAATGTCAATTTGCTTTTAAAATCTCCTTATATCCTCTCTTGTTATAACATCAGGAAGCAATAGTCCTTTTCACCTCTGGTCTAAATGCAGCAAAGAGTCCCACAGTCTTTTGTCATCATAGCCCATTGTATTGACTATGTTTGACATCTGCCCTTCATAGCATAGATGCTGTCAAAATATAAAAAAAAAATTAGTTTAGCTAAAATAAAAAAATTACAATATAAATAAAAAGAATTCAAAATATTAAACAATCTGCCTAAATTACTTTTACTTCAAGTTTTCATTGAAAAGGGAACTCAGCTGATTGTTACAGTGTAATAATAGTAAATAGCCTTGGCCTTGAGAACCATTGTTTACATTTTGCTAACTGAAACGTAATAATATTAAAATAATTGTATAACTACAAATTAAATTCAAACAAATAAATAATTTAATCTATTTCAGAATTTTATACTACTGGAACTTGAATAAAACTAATGTTAGGGCTAATAATAGTGCTAAGAAGTATCACAGTATGCGTGAGTTGAGTATGAATGAAAAAAGTAAACAAACCTTGGATGCTATTATTATGATGATAATTTACAGAATTCTCGGTATCAGACACATCTGAAGTGCTATCTTCATCATAAATATTCTTCTAAGTAAGAATAGTCGTCCATTTCAAGCTTATAATCAGAATCAGACTCCATAGCAATGTTTTAGAGTGTAGTAACAGCGAACCGGAATTGTGGCAAAATATGAGTAAATGGCGAAAAGGAAAATTTATGAATGGACAAGTTGCTACCAGATTTCTTCAAGAACTAGTAAAATAAACGATTTTTCTTTCTTGCCAAATAGAAATTTAACATTCCAAAATAGCAAATCTTTATTTTCGCCTTTTAATATTATTTTTATATATATTTTAGTGGTCGTTCTTTTCACCCGCCATATATGACCGATTTTTCAATCTCCCGTCTTTTGAGAGTTAAGGTAAGCGCTATATAAAAATGCCTAAATAAATAAATATCTGGATGTGTGTTATTTAATTTGGTACCCAGGATGAAATTGATATTTTCAAATTGACATTTTCGAATCGATATTATCAAATTGATATTTTCGAATCAATATTTCCAAATTGATATTATAAAAATGATATTTTCAAATTGATATTATCAGATATTTTTAAAATTGATATTATCAAACTGATATTTTCAAATTGATATTATCAAACTGATATTTTCAAATTGATAACAAATTCTGGAAACGTCTAAATTGAGTAAGGATCAAAGGAAAGGGTTTTTTTCTCCATCACAGAAAATAATTTTTCTTTAAATTTTGTCTTTATAAAATTAATAAAATAATAACTCAATGGCAAGGTATCTACCTGAAAGTTGTGTTGGTGGGGGTGCTGTTGTAATGACAACCAAAACAGTTAAAAAGGAAATTAAGGTCCAGAAAATTCTGTTCAATATTTGTTTAATTAATGTCATGTTTTCAGCAAATACCTGACGGTGATAGAGAAAAACATGAAAATTGATGAGGAGGAGATCACGTCCATGCTTGAAGACAGGGGAAGGTACCTGCAGCAGGCTCTGGTCAACTACCTCCGGTGTCTTCAGCACGGAGACCTGCACGACCTCAAGGTCTTCAGGGTGGTGGCCTTGTGGTTTGATAACTGTGACAACCAAGAAGTAAATGTGTTGATGAAGGTGAGTGAGACCCACTGATGTACATGGCTGCTGCAAGAAATTTGAATTTTTTGTTTTAACATGTTGATGTCAAATTTAAAAAATGAAAATCCTGTTTTTAATAATACGTACTGCAGTCAAGCTATAAAACATTAGATCAGCAGTTTTCAACTTGTGGGTGGCGACCCCTTTGGTAGTCACATGGCCCTTTCCCAGGGGTCGCCTTAGACCATCTAAAAACACATATACTCTACAGTTATGAAGTAGCAACGAAAATAATTTTGTAGCTGGGGGTCGCCACAACATGAGGGACTGTATTAAAGGGTCGCGGCATTAGGAAGGTTGAGGACCACTGCATTACATAGTTGCTCTATAGTACAGTAGTCAGACTATAAAACATTAGGTAGTTGTGCTGCAGTGCAGCAGTTAGGTTACAAAACATTTATTATTCAGAGATCACCAGCTTATGGTGATTGAGGCTGTGTATTCATAAGAAGGCAGCTGTTATAAATTCCAGCAAATTATTTTTCTCTTGTGTCCTAGAAAAATCTAAAAAGCATAAAAAGCTTCAAGTTCTTGCCTCTGTATTATCAACTGGCAGCCAGGATGAGTTCAACGGACAATACAGCGTTTCAGCCCGTCCTAACAGAGGTAAGCCTTATGTTTTCACAGAGATAAACACAATGGCACATTGCCCAACCATTTTTGAGATGCCACCCCAAAATGTATCAAAGCGAAGTGACCCTTGACACCAATACATTTATTTTTTAAAAAATTACGGGCCGAATGGAGACGTATCAAAAATAGATTTTTCAGTAAAGTATAATGACATGACACTTCAATATAATTTTAACTTGTTCAATATTTTCTGCTCTAGTTGAAAATGGAATCCGTTTACAAGCTTGAAAACATGTCATTGAGAGTTTTCTTTAATTCAAATTTAATGTCACTCTCCATATTTTCTCTGTTTTGTTTTTTTTGTTTTTCAAATAAAGAATCATTGAAAAAACACCCTAACAAGATTGTTCCGAATGAAATGCCAGTATTATAATAACATGATTGTTTGGCAACAAGTGACAGTATTATAATAACATGATTGTTTGGCAACAAATGCCAGTATTATAACAACATGATTGTTTGGCAACAAATGCCAGTATTATAATAACATGATTGTTTGGCAACAAATGCCAGTATTATAACAACATGATTGTTTGGCAACAAATGACAGTATTATAACAACATGATTGTTAGGCAGCAAATGACAGTATTATAACAACATGATTGTTAGGAAAAAAATGCCAGTATTATAACAACATGATTGTTTGGCAAGAAATGACAGTATTATGACAACATGTTTGTTAGGCAGCAAATGAGAGTATTATGACAACATGATTGTTTGGCAAAAAATGCCAGAATTATAATAACATGATTGTTTGGCAACAAATGACAGTATTATGACAACATGTTTGTTAGGCAGCAAATGAGAGTATTATGACAACATGATTGTTTGGCAAAAAATGCCAGAATTATAATAACATGATTGTTAGGCAGCAAATGAGAGTAATATAACAACATGATTGTTTGGCCGCAAATGCCAGTATTATAACAACATGATTGTTAGTCAGCAAATGCCAGTATTATAACAACATGATTGTTAGGCAGGAAATGCCAGTATTATAACAACATGATTGTTAGGCAGGAAATGCCAGTATTATAACAACATGATTGTTTGGCGAAAAATGCCAGTATTATAATAACATGATTGTTAGGCAGCAAATGACAGTATTATAACAACATGATTGTTAGGAAACAAATGCCAGTATTATAAAGGAAACAAATGCCAGTATTTTAATAACTTGATTGTTAGGCAGCAAATGCCAGTATTATAATAACATGATTGTTAGGCAGCAAATGACAGTATTATAATAACATGATTGTTTGGCAGCAAATGACAGTATTATAAAAACATGATTGTTAGGCAAAAAATGCCAGTATTTTAATAACATGATTGTTAGTCAGCAAATGCCAGTATTATAACAACATGATTGTTTGGAAAAAAATGCCAGTATTATAATAACATGATTGTTAGGCAGCAAATGAGAGTATTATAACAACATGATTGTTAGGCAGCAAATGCCAGTATTATAATAACATGATTGTTAGGCAAAAAATGCCAGTATTATAATAACATTATTGTAGGCAGCAAATGCCAGTATTATAACAACATGATTGTTTGGCAAAAAATGCCAGTATTATAACAACATGATTGTTTGGCAAAAAATGCCAGTATTATAACAACATGATTGTTTGGCAAAAAATGCCAGAATTATAACAACATGATTGTTAGGCAGCAAATGCCAGTATTATAATAAAATGATTGTTAGGCAGCAAATGCCAGTATTATAATAACATGATTGTTAGGCAGCAAATGCCAGTATTATAAAAACATGATTGTTAGGCAGCAAATGAGAGTATTATAATAACATGATTGTTAGGCAGCAAATGCCAGTATTATAATAACATGATTGTTAGGCAGCAAATGCCAGTATTATAATAACATGATTGTTAGGCAGCAAATGCCAGTATTATAACAACATGATTGTTAGGCAGCAAATGCCAGTATTATAATAACATGATTGTTAGGCAGCAAATGCCAGTATTATAACAACATGATTGTTAGGCAGCAAATGAGAGTATTATAATAACATGATTGTTAGGCAGCAAATGCCAGTATTATAATAACATGATTGTTAGGCAAAAAATGCCAGTATTATAATAACATGATTGTTAGGCAGCAAATGATAGTATTATAACAACATGATTGTTACGCAAAAAATGCCAGTATTATAATAACATTATTGTAGGCAGCAAATGAGAGTATTATAATAACATGATTGTTAGGCAAAAAATGCCAGTATTATAATAACATGATTGTTAGGCAGCAAATGATAGTATTATAACAACATGATTGTTAGGCAGCAAATGCCAGTATTATAATAACATGATTGTTAGGCAGCAAATGAGAGTATTATAATAACATGATTGTTAGGCAGCAAATGCCAGTATTATAATAACATGATTGTTAGGCAGCAAATGTCAGTATTATAATAACATGATTGTTAGGCAGCAAATGCCAGTATTATAACAACATGATTGTTAGGCAGCAAATGCCAGTATTATAATAACATGATTGTTAGGCAGCCAATGCCAGTATTATAACAACATGATTGTTAGGCAGCAAATGAGAGTATTATAATAACATGATTGTTAGGCAGCAAATGCCAGTATTATAACAACATGATTGTTAGGCAAAAAATGCCAGTATTATAATAACATTATTGTAGGCAGCAAATGAGAGTATTATAATAACATGATTGTTAGGCAAAAAATTCCAGTATTATAATAAAATGATTGTTAGGCAGCAAATGCCAGTATTATAATAACATGATTGTTTGGCAAAAAATGCCAGTATTATAATAACATGATTGTTAGGCAGCAAATGCCAGTATTATAATAACATGATTGTTTGGCAAAAAATGCCAGTATTATAATAACATGATTGTTACTTTATTTGGGGGGAGGGGTGGTTGGGGGTGTCTAAAAAAAAAAACTTTGTGAGCCAAGGGTTTGGGAATCTGTGGGTGACAGTATTTATCATGTGGCAGTTACTTTAAGCTTTACATAATTCTATAATCTGGTCATTTAATAGCAAATGAAATAACAATTAAAACGTTTGTATAATTATTGTAGAGGTTCATTTATTTGTACTGTTGTTTTAAATGTTATGTGAAGTATACAAGGAAAATAAACGTAACTAAGAAACAAAAATTTTAAAAATTGTGTGAATACATTCCCAAATTTCTCATTTGCCCTCAGTTAATGCAAAGGGTAGCAGAAGACCATCCCCACCATGCCCTGTGGATCATTCTGGCTCTAGCCCATGCTTATAAAGATGATGAGATTCTGTCCCAAGGTTCTGAGACAACGACCAAGGAAAAACTGTCTCCCAGTGAAAAAGAAAATGCTGAAGTGGTGAGTTAGATTAGGATGTTTATGGTTCATGGTGGTTGTACAAACAAACAGCATGGATGGGGCATATCCACAAGTCCATAATATGACATCCATGACATGACAGCTAGATTTCCATAGCACAACAGCTAGGTTTTTATGATATTTGAGCTAGGTTTCCATGGTGTGACAGCTAGGTCTCTATGATGTGACAGCTAGTTCTCCATGACATGACAGCTTGATCTCCATGGTGTGACAGGTAGATTTCCCTAGCATAAACCTGACCTAAAAGCTAGGCCTCTATGACATAGTAGCTAGGCTTCCAGGACATGACAGCTAGGCCTTCAAGGCTGTGAAAACAATGGATTAATAGTTGACCAAAATATCTGCCCAAGGTTTCTTTAAAAATATAAATGGCTTTTCTTTTTTTCTTTCAACTTTTTTTTACCCACAGTATTAATTTACTAAACAACACATACATTATTTCAAACAACTGACACCATGTGGTGACTGTTGTAACTGTAATGTTTCATTTCACCCACCAGGCCAGGGTGGAAGCTGCCAAAAACTTGCTGGAACTCTTAAAGAAGAAAAAAGCAGTTTCTGACATTGTGGAAAACATGGAGCTCCTGTGCCTCGCTTACATCCAGCTGGCCAACTCACCTGCCAGCAACAGAGCAGGTGCATCCACCCACTTGTTTTAAATGATGAAAGTCCCTCTTATGGCATTCATGCACTTCAGGGACTAATAAGTTGCAAATTTCTGCTTTTTGCATCCCACAATTTAAGTCTTCATAAAACTTCTGTTTCTATATGAGCATTAAGTCATAGCTTCAGTTATTATTTTTAGATCACTGGAATGGTTCTATTTATTTTTGTGGCTGTTGTTGTTGTTTTTTTAAAGTTAAACATTTTTACAAATAAGTACTTTTTAGAAAATGATTTATTTTAATCAAAAAAATCTCAAACATTTGGTACATATTTCTTTAAAAATGGAAGTGGGGAAAAAATTAAACTAATGATCTGATAATCCTTGCCAGGTTCTCATCCCATTCCAAAAAACTTAAGCATTCTCAAACTTCGTAAGTTGGACAATGTCCTGCTGCCATCTGTGGAACTGAAAGTAAGTTCAATATCATTTGTCCCTCCTTCTTTTTTAAGACTTTTAATTTCCTGACCTGAGGGTAGGTTTTCTCTCCAGGCAGCCAGCAGGGTTTCTCTCCAGGCAGCCAGTAGGATTTTTAGTAAACGCAAGACTTCTTGTGTTTTTTTTAAATTTCAGAAAGTCACAAATTATCGTTATAAGCCAGGACCTGTAAAATATAGTTAACTGCGCTGAATTACTAAGCTCAGTAGGTCTAGTACACAGGTTCTCAAACGTTTTCAAGTTAAAACAAACATTCATATAGAATCAAAGTGCCCTCACCAAGATATATTGCGGAAACAGGTTTTTAAATAGGGTGAATTCTTGGAAATGAAAACATTTTAAAGGCAGCAGTCTAATTAGTGTTGGCTTAAGTTTCAGCAATCTGCACACAATAAGTTTGTAATCTAATTCATTCATGAGATTGACTTTGTTCAAGAAAATCCCTAACAATGCTTCTGAAAAAAAAAATGTTATTCATTTGTAGATTAGATCAGCGCATGATGTGTGGAGAAGATAACTTTCATGTTTCTCTCTTGATTCAGGTGGACCCCACTGGAAACTACAAGAATCTGGTGTCACCAGTCAGATTCAATCCAGATTTTAAAGTCATTGGGGGGATCAACTTGCCCAAGATCATAACATGCCATGGCTCAGATGGCCAGCCGAGAACACAGCTGGTCAAGGTACTACAAGTCTCTCTTTTAAACCTCATTTGATGGGCTTAGGCCTTTCATGGGATTAGACGTCTCATGCGATTTGACCTTTTATGACATTAGACCTTTCATGACATTAGACCTTTCATGAGATTACACCTTTCATGACATTAAACCTTACATGACATTAGACCTTTCATGAGATTACACCTTTCATGACATTAGAGTTATATTCCTTATTTGCTGTTTTCTTCTTTTTTCTATTTTTTTTTTTACTCCCCTTAACAGTTCACTCCCCTTAACAGTTTGCATTAAATCTCTGAACTCCCAGTTAGACAAATGTCTAATCATTTACTGAAGTGAACATTCAGCAAAAAGACTTCAATGAATTTAAGTTTCATCCAGTTAAGTTTACCTTGCAGGTGCCATTTATGGAGTTGATTGTAAAATTCAAACCTGTGTGAACACAGTAAACAACCGAGTGAATAGTTCATGTTCACTATTTTGTTTAATATTACATGAGAGAGCCATTCTTTATAATTTTACTTAAACCTAATATTTTGTTAGCCTTGTTAAGTCTGCATTTCAAAACTCACTTCCCATTTATTTTTTTTTTAAAAGTGGATTGCTGGCATACAATTTAGGAGATTGAGAATATAAAACAATGTATTTAATAAAAAATTGTTTTTGTTAAAAATTATTTGACATGTTTTTTAAATGTAACTTTAGGGTCGAGATGACCTGAGACAGGATGCAGTTATGCAGCAGGTGTTCTCCCTTGTCAATCAGCTGCTGGCAGGGGCAGCAGAGACAAGGCAAAGACAGTTAAAGATTAGAACTTACAAGGTTAGTCAAAGTGGATTATTTATCATTCTAACTTACAAGGCTAGACACTTTAGATTACCTCACCTTCTAGCCTCCATATCATTTGATCAGACTTGTTTAAAGACTTTACTACATTAGTCTTTCTTTGTGAATAAATATTAGAATGTTTAATGTCAGTTATCTAAAGTCTAGTTTACTGTCATATTTACGGCATCCACCTATCAAAACTTGTCTGGTGAGTTGTCATTGTTGATGCCTGTACAACAAATAGACCAATAACTCTTCCAGTGAACTATATATCCCTTGCAGGTTATCCCACTTAGTCAGAAATGTGGCCTTCTACAGTGGTGTGAAGGGACGCAACCCTTGGGGGAGTATCTCACCAGGACGTCGTCATCATCACCTGGGGCTCATGCGAGGTACAGACCCAAGGACTGGCTGGTTAAAGACTGCAGGAGTCATCTCACTGTAAGTGGTAAACATCTCTAGCTGTTGCAACGGACAGGCATTGCACAAGTTTCTCTATGTGTCAGTTAGGATGACATTGTCAACTGACAAATAAACATATACGTTAGGTTACAGTGTCATTGCCTGACAACTGCCATATGTTTTTTTTAATTCCTGTCATTTTTATTCTTCTTAAATTTTATCCCCTTTTGAGAACCATCAATTTTAGAAGCATTGCAATGGCCAATTGTAACAGATATGAGATAATGAGTGACATTGAGTTAAGTAATGTGAGATTTATCACTTGTATTGGGACTTGGTAAAAACTAACCAATTGGAGAAGAGAAAAGATGGGACGAAATTTTGACAGTTTTTACTTCAATATTTATGTAAGGAGATTTGAAAAATGGGATAACATTTATCAATTAAAGAAGTTGCCAATGAGTTTACAGCGAAGATACATTACAAGTATTTCTTGGATTTAGTATGTTTATATTAGGGATGGACCTATTTTGTCTCAACTATCGCATTCTTGTGATCGTGTGTTACGTATATAATAAAGTATAGTCACTATCACTTGATCCACTACGCCTCTGTTATTATAACTCATAACTAGATTGTGGCTGTGAGACACTGTAGTTGTGACACCAATAATCTTAGAAATAAATTAAAGTTAGTTTCTGCCAGATAAATGAAATCACTATAGGAATATTGCTCTTAGTTCTATTTGAATCATATTACTTAAATATTTTATCATTATCTTTTTACTCAATTGGCAGAAATCCATGGACTCCAAATGAAAGATTTCGGGGGCGGGGGGGCTGAAAAAGTAATGAACTTTATAAGAATCCCAATTAGTGCTCAACTAACTCTCCTAAAGTGACAACAACCTGTGCACTATTAAGGAAAACAAGAGTCTCCCCTCCCCATGGGGGAATCAAACCTTGGTCTTTTGCATGACAGGCATGGACACTGTTCACATTACTTTTGAGAACATCTTAGTGTTTATGCAGAATCATTTGTTCAGTCAAATTTTGATCATTTCAGAAAGCAGGGACTGCAGCAGAGAAAAGATTCAAGGCCTACCAGGAGATCTGTGCTCATTTTAAGCCAGTGTTCAGACATTTTTTCATGGAGAACTTTCCGGAGCCTTCAGTGTGGTTTGAGAAAAGATTGGCCTACACCCGCAGTGTGGCTACAAACTCTATAGGCAAGTACAGCTAGCTTGCACCACCTGGCATTAAATGAGTGGATCTACCTGTCAGTAAATGTATGGATATACCTGTAAGTAAATGTGTGGATCTACCTGTCTGTCAGTAAATGTGTGGATCTACCTGTCTGTCAGTAAATGTGTGGATCTACCTGTCAGTAAATGTATTTCAAAGCAAAAAACCAATTGTGGTTTTCTGACATAACCGAGCCTTATTTTCATTGAGAATTCATGAAAACTTTGATCTATTGTGAAACGTGAATGCATGTTAAACTGTGAACACCATAAAAAGGTAGGGCTAGTCATTGTTCAAAGACTCAACACATGAGCAACACTTGTCACCTTTGCTGATGATGGCTGGTGATCTGAAGATGCAGGATCCAAGTGTAGCATCACCAGTGTCCTCACTGAAGGGACAACCCTGCACCCACCCACTCATCCCATCACCAGTGTCCTCACTGACGGGACAACCCTGCAACCCACCCACTCATCCCATCACCAGTGTCCTCACTGATGGGACAACCCTGCACCCACCCACTCATCCCATCACCAGTGTCCTCACTGATGGGACAACCCTGCACCCACCCACTCATCCCATCACCAGTGTCCTCACTGACGGAACAACCCTGCACCCACCCACTCATCCCATCACCAGTGTCCTCACTGATGGGACAACCCTGCACCCACCCATTCATCCTTTGATCAAACTCCAAAAAAAGTTTTCTCATGCTTTCCACTTCTTTCTTTTCATAAACAGTTTTTTAAATAATCAAAGTTTTTATGATTCTTCCCAAATTTTCCTGGTACAAAACAATTTATTTTGCTAAGTTTCATATTTAAAATATTCACTACATTTTCCAACATTTTCTCCATTCTAATTCGATTGATTGCATCACAAGAATAAAGATCGTTGATTGTGTAGGGCATTTTGTGTTTCCCGTCATTCAGCTTTCTTATGTTTTTTGACATGTTATCTTAATTCTTGTTGTCAGTTGGCTACATCCTAGGACTTGGTGACAGACATGTGATGAACATTCTAATTGACCTACAGACAGCCGAGCTTGTCCACATTGATTTGGGTAACTGTTTACAATAGGTGTTTCAATAAAATATAGGTGTTATAGGTATAGTTTATAGACAATAGGTGTTTCAATAGAACATAGAGAATAGTTGTTTAAATACATACAATCCTAATGTTCATGGAGAATAGTTGTTTTAGTACATATAATCCCAATGTTCATAGCACATAGAGAATAGTTGTTTTAGTACATACAATTCTAATGTTCATAGCACATAGAGAATAGTTGTTTTAGTACATACAATTCTAATGTTCATAGCACATAGAGAATAGTTGTTTAAGTACATACAATTCTAATGTTCATAGCACATAGAGAATAGTTGTTTTAGTACATACAATTCTAATGTTCATAGCAGCGAGAGAATAGTTGTTTTAGCACATACAATTCCTATATTTTGTTGGTTTGAACTGTGCATATAACTAAACATCAGTGGTGCTAAACCTTGGAGCTTTGTACTCTTTTTTTGAGGATATAGTGGTTTAAAACTCCTTTTTATTTACTTATAGAGTCCTTAGATTGCACCTACGGTGATCCACCACTTTCCCTACAATCTTCCTCACAACCTTCTCGGCCACCATTCCCCATAATCTAGATCAATATTTAACATGTTGTTTTTGTTTCTCCAGGTATTGCCTTTGACATGGGCCACATCCTCCCTACACCTGAGACAGTTCCTTTCAGACTGACCCGTGACATTGTGGATGGCATGGGGGTCACAGGGGTGGAGGGGGCCTTCAGAAGGTCAGGCTGAGCCTTGTGAAACACTCTTTTTGTTTTTGGGATGTAAAGAGAATAATTTAATGCTAAATTAATTAATGTCAAAATATCTCCTACCAATACCATAACAGTACTTGGACGCAAAGTGTTCATAAAATATTTGATTAAAATTGTATTTAATCCAGAACAAAAAATAAATCTATTGATCTATATAATTAATCTATTGATCTATATAATAAATCTATTGAACTGTATAATAAATATATTGATCTGTAAACCAGATCTATTGATCTGTTTGATAAATCTATTGAACTGTATAATAAATCTATTGATCTGTATTATTATAATGAATGCAATGTATTTGGTCAACCTTAGGTGTTTTGAAAATATGAACATGTGTAATTTGTTTTATTTTGGCAGCAACTAAAATTTCAAAAAATTTACAACTAATTTAGTTCTTTAGGTTTTTTTTTTGTTTTTTAAATATCAATCAGAATTATTTTACAATAATACTCTGTTTGAGCTGAGACACCTTTGTGTTGTTTCTATGTTAGTTGGAACCTTCTCCACTGATGCATGTCTCAGGTCCTCTATGATCCCCAAGGGTTTAACTCAAATTTATTCATCAGATTGAAATCTCTTCGTACCATCAGTATTGTCACATTCATCTCAGAGATGTCATTTTCATGCAACTTTCTGTTGATGTCAAGGTTGGTGAAGCTCTTTAAAAGAAATGACATTTTTGTAATTAATCTTTGTTGACAGATGCTGTGAGAATACAATGCATGTAATGAAGGACAACAGTGAATCATTGCTGACCATTGTCCAGGTTTTACTCTATGACCCCTTGTCTCATTGGTCACTCACACCTCAGCAGGCCTTGGATATTCAGGTGAGAGCAATATACATAATAAAATACATTTCTCTTTAAATATATAAATTCCTTTTCTTCATATCAATGTTTTGTTTATTATTTGACTGGCCTCATTTGTGCCAATCGAAGATATATTATCGATTTAATTTTTGTAGTTTATTTCGTTGCCTGTGGCTATCAGTCCTACTTTTTATGTTCTCAAATGAATGATAACTCTTCCTACTTCCTTCTAGTTAGAAGTAGGGTTTGTTTACATTTGTTTTTCCAATAATTCCTACCTTTTTTTTCTATTTTTGTTAAACTGTTGTAAACAAAGCATTGGCCACGCTTACTCCAAGCACATCGGCTGTTGATAGACTATGTAGGTAGTCAAGTTTGCAAACACAAGCGCTTTTATAGTGAATTATTGATGCTAAAACATCAGACATTTAAATCTGATTTAAGGGATGATTTTTAGCTTTCTGATGGGTTGGTAGATGCAAATAGAGGAAGTGATAGTAACAATGGTGAAAGTGAGGATTCAGATAATACTACTCCTGTTCCTGCAAAGAGAAATCAGAAATAAGGAAGAATATTTTCTAAAGCCCAGCTTCAGCAAGGACCGCACATAAAGAAATTGGTACTAAAGTAAAATATTTTGTAAATAATGTGTTTGACATTTGTGTAAATATGTTTATATATATATATATATATGCAAAGAAACTGCTCTCTTTGGTTTATCTTATCTTAAATGGAATATTTTCACAATGTAAAATGCATTCTGATAAAAAATGGACATTTCTGAGGAATGAAGCAGAGTAGGATATCAGCTACACAAATAAGTTCAGATTGGGTGCGCATTTTTTAACAAAAATTATCTCATAATATTACAAATAGAATTTAAATTATTGTTGTCATATCGTTTTATCTGTCAAATATTATTGTTCTCTATGTAATTTCCTTTTGTTTGATTTAAAATAATGTTATCTTGCTAAAAAAATTGTATTTAAAATTAATTAATAGTTAAGAGCACCCTAAAATATTTCCATTGGCCAAAAACTGGTGTGGCACCAACATGGAAAACCCCCTGGCAAGGACAGAAAGAGGGGGTGGTTGGGGGGGGTGTGTTACATTTCTTTTATATATATATATATATATATGATGTATATATGATTACTTTTCAGTAATGAACAAAACATATTAAATGAATGCTTATGTTTTAAAGTAAAATTGTATACCATCAAATGAAATAAAATTGTAAATCTGTCTACTAATATATTATTCTTATTTATTTCAATCTGTATCATGCTGTTACATTGAATCCATTGTTGCAAACAAAATCGCACTTTAAATCTTCGTGGGTTTCGGCAGCTTGAGGTTTTCAACTCACCCAACAAAAAATAAGAAAGGAAAGTACAATAAAACAATGTTAGAACTTGGGAAATAAAACTGTAGCCCACCAACAGAGCAGCTTGAGTTGTCAACTGTGGTCATTATTCTTGGTACTGGTCTTCTCTGAATGTACCATAATGTTAAGGGATACATAGCTGGCACGCCACTTTGGTGAGGAAGTTTTAAAAAGAAAGTTCTGTTTGTGTGTGTGTGTGGTGTTGGGAGTTAAAAGCTGATTTGAATGTAATTTATTTGTGTTTTTATAAACAGGCTAAGAAGATCATTTTTAAAAGACTTAATTTTTTTTTTTTCAACAAGAAAAATGAATTTGTTTTGCTAATTCAGAGAAAGCGTGAACAAGCCAATCAGGACAATGTCGTCCAGACCTTGATCTCAAGTGGCCAGGTGCCTTCAAGCGGTCAAGCGATTGGGATATTTGGACCTGGTGAAAGTGACATAGGACTGAAGACTAACGGTGAGATTTATTCCCAGAGCTCTACAACCCTTTAATGAAATACAGCAAAACATTTTTTTAATGACAAATTGAAAAATCTTACTTAAAACTTGTTGACACATCATAATCTTATGGCCCTGTTTTTCTGACTACACCATGCAGTTTTGTTAAGTTTATACAAAAAAGTCCTCTCTCTTTTTTTTAATGAATATTTTCCTTAAGTTATTGAAAACATTTTGTTCTTATTATTTATCTGATGAAATAGGTTTTCAAAGTGAGGTAAATAGTAGATTATCTTCTTTACAAATAATTATCTGGCTCCAAAGATGAGCAAAAATAGCTGCCAAGCAACACAAGAGTCAACAATTTAAAATGACTTAATCGCATACCATCTGTTTCAGAGTCGAGAGAAAACCAGAACAAACTGGCTGAGAGGACCTTGCTGCGACTGAAGCAGAAGTTGAACGGGCTGGAGGGAAACGCCCAGCTGAGCGTGTCGGGTCAGGTCAACTTCCTCATTCAGAAGGCCAGTGACCCCAGGAACCTTTGCAAGTTGTATGCTGGCTGGCAGCCATATTTGTAAATGCAACTGTTAACTTTCTTTTAAACCGGTGTCCTGTTAAGTTTTTTCAACTGCTGATAAATATCTGCTGAATTTTTTTATTTTTAAAGATCCTTGCCGTTTGATTTAAATGAAACCTAACATCTCTGTTAATTTATTCATTGAAGAGTTACAAAAATGAATTTATAAAAAAAACTAAATTTTTTAAAAATTGTCATCCTTGTTTTGCCTCTATCCAGAAACCTGTGCTATGATATATTTTTTAATCCATTCATAAATAACTGTTATAGTTATAGTTTTATAGAAGCAATCAGCTTTATTGGCCGACTGATCCCCTTATTTTTAATATATTGAATGGACGGACTACTATATTTTAACACATGTATTGACAGAAAGAACATGTTATATCACTCCTTGTATATAGTCATCCCAAAATAAATGAATATTTTTCAAATGTGGCCGTCCACAAAATTCGACCTGAACTTCTCATGCTAATCATTAAGTCAAATCCGTTGCAACATAAATTGTTTCACTGCTGTAATTGATGTTTTGTATTAATCCATGCTCAGAGAAATTCTTTTCTTGTGTTTGATTTGATTTGATTTTTTTTTTTGCATCTTTGAGGTTGTTGGTTTTTTTCCTTCATTTTTGGAGTGAACAGAATTAGCTCATTAAAAGAAATATGCTTTTCCTTAAAAGTAAATTACTTCCAAATTTATAAAAGTTTTATCACTCTAAGACACAAGCAAGAGGCTAGATCAACAAGTTTCCTTGATTTATTTCTCATGTTAGCCCATTACACTGACTTCATAAGTAAACATTGGCTGTTTTTTTTTTTACAAAAACCTTTTTGTTAGAGAGTGTTTTGAGTTGACCACATTTCCATCATGATGATGTCATTGTTCTCTGGAAGCTATGAATCGTTGTTGGTTCCTTACATAACTACCATTCCTAATGTTACTGTTAATTATTGCAATAAACTATCTGCATTTATTGTGACTTAATGTAACTAGTGTTTGTAAACATACCCCACTTATTGTGTTCAACGTAAGACTTATAATTTTAAAAAATAATGTTTTTAGTATAATGCAATAAAAGAAAAAGTTGTTGTAGTTTACTTAAAATTTAAAATGATAAAACTTTGAAAACTCTGCTACAAAGTATTAAGACTGATTTACTGTATTGATTTTATTATCATTTTATGTTCAATAAAAATCTATTTTAAAGATATAAAAGTCTAGAGTTTTGATTAACTTATTGTGTCTTTCTTACATTTAACTGGTTACAGTTCGCAGTTGCTGCAAAATCTACTGACTTTTGGAACCAACTAATATTTTAAGTTGAAACTTAAATAAAACAAATTTCTTGCAATTGAGTGTTATACTAGAGAATTAAGTTAATTTTTGAAGAATTTGCTTACAATTTGTTAGGCTTTGCCATTGATAGTTTAAACTTAGATAGGCTAAATAACTTAGATAATGTAAGTGTAATATTTTCTTGAAAAAAATCATTTTTATGTGCAGCGCGGTGAGCCCAGCCCTAGGTTGGTGTACAGCGCTAAATAATAATAATAATAATAATCATTCTAAATGCCAAACTCGGTTCTGACTCAGTCTTGACTAAACTCGCCTTAGAGACTTGGACACTGACTTAAATGGCTGCCATTGGACTGAAGATCTTCACCTGCTCTCACTTTATTGTCTATTTTCACATGTCACTAACCGCAGTGCCCCCCCCCCTCTTTTTTTCTTCTTTTTACGATATCAGCACCCCCCCCCACACACACACACCCACCCACCAGCTTCCCTTCCATCCGATTCAAAGAAGCAATTGCCGGGTTCTGTCCCCGTGATATGATGAACCCGGGCCCCGTCTTTCTTTTTAGGATGATTTCCCCTCTTAAACTCTGTTGGTGTTTTCTTGTCTGTCGCCTGCCAACTTCCAAGCCTGCTAATGACATTAGCCATATTTTCATTGAAGGAAATTAGCGCGGTGATCCTCCCCCCAATCACACGGCAAGTGTCGCGGAATTCAATTGAACCCCCGTAACGAAGGGAGCTAAACCAATCAGATGGCGCTTGATGAAGGGCCCTAACAAGACCCGGACAAATTCTAATGTGATCACTTAAAGCCATCGGGGGGGGGGGGG